ATTTGATATAGGTTATACATGTGTGGTCATGCAAAATGCTTCCTTAATAATCATGTTGTGAAAGACTAACTATATTTCCATCCTATCCCCTCCCTTCCGTTTATTCTATTCTCTTTTGACCCTGTCCCTCCTCAAAAGTGCTTGCTTCTGATTATCCCCTCCCCCAATCTGCCCTACCTTCTATCATCCTCCCCTTTCTTATCTCCTTCCCCGTATTTTCCTGTAGGGTAACATAGATTTCCATACCCAATTGAGTGTGTATGTTATTCCCTCCTTAAGCCAAATCCAATGAGAATAAGATTCACTCATTCCCTCTCACCTCCTCCCTCTTCCCCTCTACTATAAAAGTTTTTTCTTACCTCTTTTATGTGAGATAATTTACACCATTCTATTTTTCCCTTTCTCCTTCTCCAGCACAATTCTCTCTCACCCCTTATTTTATTTTTTAGATACCATCCCTTCATATTCAACTCACCCTGTGCCACCTGTCTACATATATATATGTGTATATATATATATATATATATATATATATATATATTCCCTCCAACTATCCTAATACTGATAAACGTCTTATGAGTTACAAATATCATCTTTCCATGTAGGAATGTAAACAGTTCAACTTTAAAAAGTCCCATATGATTTCTCTTTCCTGTTTACCTTTTTATGGTTCTCTTGAGTATTGTATCTGAAAGTCAAATTTTCTGTTCATCTCTGGTCTTTTCACCAAGAATGCTTGAAACTCCTCTATTTCACTGAATGTCCATTTTCCCCCTGAAGGATTATACTCAGTTTTACTGAGTATTCTGGTGATTCTTGGTTGTAATCCTACCTCCTTTGCCCTCCAGAATATTATATACCAAGTCCTCTGGTCCCTTAACATAGCAGCTGCTAAATCTTGTGTTATCCTGATTATGTTTCCACAATACTTGAATTGTTTCTTTCTGGCTGCTTGCAAATATTTTCTCCTTGACCTGGGAACTCTGAAATTTAGCTATGATATTCCTAGGAGTTTTCCTTTTGGGATCTCTTTCAGCAGGTGATCAGTGGATTCTTTCAATTTCTATTTTACCCTCTGATTCTAGAATATCAGGGCAGTTTTCCTTGATAATTTCTTGAAAGATGATATCTAGGCTCTTTTTTAGACCATGGCTTTCAGGCAGTCCAATAATTTTAAAATTATCTCTCCTGCATCTATTTTCCAGGTTGGTTGTTTTTCCAGTGAGATATTTCACATTGTCTTCTATTTTTTTCATTCCTTCGGTTTTGTTTTATAATTTCTTGATTTCTCATAAAGTCACTAGCTTCCATTTGCTCCATTCTAATTTTTAAGGAATTATTTTCTTCAGTGAGCTTTTGGACCTCCTTTTCCCTTTGGTCAATTCTGCTTTTTAAGGCATTCTTCTCCTCATTGGCTTTTTGGACCTCTTTTGCCACTTAGGTTAGGCTATTTTTTAAGGTGTTATTTTCTTCAGTATTTTTTGGGGTCTCATTTAGCAAGCTGTTGACTCGTTTTTCATGATTTTCTTGCATTATTCTCATTTCTCTTCCCAATTTTTCCTCTACTTCTCTTACTTGATTTTCAAAATCCTTTTTGAGCTCCTCCATGGCCTGAGACCAAGTCATATTTTTTCTTGGAGGCTTTGGATGTAGGAGCTTTGACTTTGCTGTCTACTGGTTTTATATTTTGATCTTCTTTGTCACCAAAGTAAGATTCTATAATCTGAGTTTTTTTTTCCTCTAGTTATTCACATTCCCAGGGAATTACTTGACTTTTAAACTCTTTGTTAAGATAAGGCTCTGCTTCCAGTATGGAGGGTATATTGTCCCAAGCTGCAGGGACTTTGTGCAGCTGTTTTCAGAGATACTTCTAGGGACCTGTAAATTTTCAGTTCTTCCAAGGTGGTATGATCAAAGGAGAGCTGTTTATTCCTTTCCTGGCCTGTGCTCTGGTCTATGAGTGACCATAAGCACTGTTTTCTGCCTTGGAACTGTGAGGAGGATTCTCTCTCTACTGCCACCACAAACTCTGCCATGCCAGCACTTCTCCTTGCCCCTGGACCACCACCCAGGACTATGACCCAGATCCAAGCATGGGCTAAGCAAGAGAATCCTGCCTCAGTGCCAGCAAAGAGATCCGTGTAGTCCTGCTCTGATCAGTCACTCGATTCCCCCACTGTCTGTGGACTGAGAGCTCTGGAAGCAGCTACCACTGCTGCCCCAGGGCTGCACCAGAGCTGTTCCTCTCTTACCCAGGTCCAACAGACCTTTCCTACTGACCTTCTAAGTTGTCTTTGGCATTTGTGGGTTGAGATGTCTGGAAACCACCACAGCTGCCAGTGATTCAGTCCCCTGAGGCCTGCTCCAGGTTCACTGCGTATTTACCTTTGCAGCCCATGCTGAACTGCACTCCTCTCCCAGCCTTGCACAACAGACTTTCCCCATCAACCATCCAGGTTGTCTTGGGCTGGAAATTTTTTTCACTCTGTCTTTTTATGGCTTCTGCTGCTCTAGAATTTGTTTAGAGTAATTTTTTACAGGTATTTGGAGGGGTTTGAGGGAGAGCTCAAGCAAGTCATTGCTTTTACTCCACTATCTTGGCTCTGCCTGTCTTACCTGATCTTTTGCAAATGAATATTCTCAGATGGGGATGTCCAGGTGACTTTGTGAGTTTGGGAGTTCCACAGGTTCTATAAGATATCCCATTATCTGTTAGAGATAAGTAGTGTCAACCACAGTATCTATCATGGTGAAGAGCAGTAGCCACAGGAGTCTGAAGGTGACTGTGCACCACCTTTGACATGGTAGGGCACATGCAGCTACCTTGTGAACACTATAAGGTCTGGAGAGTTTTCATGGTAATATCTAGAGACTTCCTCTTCTTTAGCACTGGAGAAGTAAAGGAAAAAGAGAATTATCATCAGCTGAGCCTCCTGGCTTAGCAGAGAAGTAGATCATGTCAGCTGAGGAACAGCCCAGTTTTGCATTAGTGGAATATCCTAGGCCTGAAACAAATCAGTCCAGTCCAGCAACAGGTCAACCCAACCAGCAAAGATATCATACCTTCAAATGAGGCAGCCCAGTTGAGCAGTGGAATGATTTATCCATCCTTAAACTTTATGAGGGTTCTACAAAGGGAAAAGAGGATTTCTAAAAATAGGGTGTGATCAACCACATGTACCTCACTATCATTGTCCTTACTGTCAGTGAACACCCACCCACTATGTAGATTTATGAGAGAATAAGTCTAGGCTTTTTGGGGAATGCCAGTTATATCACTGGTTCTTGTTGTACTTTCTTAGTAAAGCCCTTTTCTAAAAGCTAAAAGAGTCAACTTGTTGATTGTTGATGAGAAGAACATTGGTGGGGCTCAGGAACAAGCGTTATAAATGTGTCTGCTAAGGGTTGCCTTTTGTAGTAGTATTTGCCTCTCTGAGAACTCAACCTGTCAGTGTGAGTTTCCAGTTGGAGAAGTGGTCCCAAAGGATGTGCTACATAGGGAAAGAAGGATTTCCACAGATAGAGATGAAAAGCAAGTCCAAGGGGATTTTAGTGAAGAATTAGTGATACAATTTGACAGAAAGTAGCATGACTGAATGTGATGTCAAGAATGTAATTTGAAAAAAAATGTTCAAAAGGTGAGTTAGAGACAAATTATGAAAGGTCTTAAATACCAGGCTGAAGAAATTCTATTTTTTTCTGACGGGAACAGAGAGCCACTGAGGGTTTTCGAGCAAATGAATGACATGATCAGACCTTTGCTTTAGGAAGATTATTTTGACAATTGTAAAGAATGGATTAGAAAAGGTAGTTTTTGGAGCCAGATGATCATCTAGGAGGTTATTAAAATTGTCCACGTGGGAGGTGATAAAGCCCTGAATTAAGGTAGCATATGTAATCCACTGGGATGGGGATGAGGATGGGAATACAAATAGAAGGGTAAGAGTTCCCTGTCCTCAAGGATCTTACCATCTGGTGGAAGGGTCTAGACTTCTAGACTAGAGTCTCAACCTGTGATTTCATTGGGCCAGGCAACTCAGGATCAAATACTATCAAGGCAGATCAGTATGTGTGCTACAGTTTCCAAGAAAGTCTCTAAGGCTAGACACACACACAAAGATAACATTACAAACAAGAATGCCAGCTGTGTAAAACAGGGATGGGGAACCTGCAGCCTCCAGGCCACATGTGACCTTTTAGGTCCTCCGGTGGGACCTTTCGACTGAGTCTAAGTTTTACAGAACAAATCCTTTTATTAATTCTGTTAAGTTTGGAGTCAGTCAAAGGGCTGCACTTGAGGACGTAGAGGGCCACATGTTTCCCACCCTTGGTGTAAGACATGTACCGTAATTTATAGGCAAGTGCTAGGTGGCCCACGTAGAGTGCCCAGCCTGCAGCCAGGAAGACTCATCTTCCTGAGTTCAAATCGGGCAAGTCACTTAACCCTGTTTACCTCAGTTTCCTCTTCTGTAAAATGAGCTGAAGAAGGAAATGACAAACTCCAAATTTGTCTTCGCCAAGAAAACCCCAAATGGGGTTAGGAAATGGGGCCACGACAGAACTGACTAAACAAAACACACAGATACATCTACATTGCAAATAAGAACGACAATTGTATAAGATGCTCAGGTAGATGAGGTAGGTGATGTCTGAGTTCCATTAGATGAGTAAGTTTAAACATCTAACTTCTTTCTTAGAATCGGTGGAGGAAGGTGACAGGGAAGGGGATAGGGAAGTGAGATGACTCCTAGACCTACCTCCACTAGGTCTTGCTTCCTCCTCCTCCTTTCGGTTTAGGTTAAGGAAGGGACTGGTTCCCAGTTCAGCCTCCGGGCAGCAGTGCGGCCTCCTCCCTCTAGGGGGCAGCAGTTCACCCCTGGAAGGTGACATCAGAGCCATTCGAGTCCCTCCCCGCGGCGAGCGGAAGGAGAACTACCCTCTGACCCGCGGGCCCAATCGTTGGCCGCTGCGCAGGCGCTGCCGCGTTGGCGGAAGTGACGGTCCTGCCTCCTGTCTCCTGTCTCCTGTCTCCGGCCCCTCGTCCGGCTCTCCTACCTTGACCCCGGCTGCCAGAGTTCGGCCCGAAGCGGGGCCGCGCCGGGCGGGATGGAGAAGAGGAGGATGAACCTGCCCAAGGGACCGGATACGCTGTGCTTCGACAAGGACGAGTTCATGAAGGTGCGGGCGCCCGGCTGAGGGGGCCGCTGGTCCCTGGGCCCAGCTACTCCTTCCCTCCACGGGGTCCTGGCCCTCGACTCCTGTCCCCCCAGGTTACCGAGGGGCTGTGCCGAGGCTGCTGCTGTGTCTGCCGCCCCCTGCCCGGGTCCGAGCGCAACCCTCGGAAGCGAGTGAACGCTACACCTGTTTGTGGGGAGTGGGGGCGGAGCAAAGGACCAAAATATTGAGAAGTGGGTGGCAGCACTAAGGGCTCGGGCTTGTCCTAGCATTCACGGCTCTCCACGCTGGGGTTAGATGATCCTTTGTGGGATGAGTTGCAGTTATAGTTAGGGGGGAGTGGAGCCCTGGTCTGGTCGGGGTTAGAGCGCACCAGGGCTTCCTAACCTTGCTTGGGTCGTGGACCCCTTGGGCAATGTGGTGAAGTCTATAGATACCTTATGTTTTCAGAATAATATCTTTAAATGAATTAAATAGAACAGCCTGTCAATAAACATTTCTTAAATGCTCACTGTGTACCAGGCTGTGTTCTAAGTGCTTGTGACACAGGTCGATAATAGGCCTTGCTCTCAAGGAGCTTAGGGTCTGATGGGGTACAGAATTTGCAAACAACTATAATTTGTACAAACAGAAGGAAAGCACAGAAATTAAAGAGGACCTAGAAAGATCTCTTGCAGAAGGTGGGGTTTTAGCCGAGATTTGAAGGAAACCAGAAGGCAGAGAGGAGGAGGGAGAGAACTCCAAGCAGGAGGGTACGGTCAGTGAAAATGGCTGGAATGGGGAGATGGAGTGTCTTGTTAAAGGGAACAGCAGGGAAGCTTTCCAGTGTCACTGGATCATGTCATACACTTCGGGGGAGAAATGTGTAAAGGGTGGACGTGAGGGAACAGTTTATAAAGAGTTTTGAACGCCAAACAGAATTTTAAATTGAATCCTAGAGGTAACAGGGAGGCACTGGAGTTCAAGTTAGGAGGTGACTGGTCAGACCTGCACTTCAGGAAGATCACTTTAGCATCTAAAGTGATATGGACTGAAGTGGGGAGAAATTTGTGGCAGGGAGACCGAACTGCAGGCTATTGCATCAATCCAGTTTTGAAGTGATGAGGGGCCTGCACCAGGGTGGTGACAGTATGAGAAGAGAGAAGAGGACGTGTGTAAGAGATGGTACTAAAGTAAAATTGACAGACTTTGACAAGAGGTTGGATATGGATGGTGAGAGAGAATGAGGGGTGGAGAAAGATACTTAGGTTGCAAGCCTGGGATACTGGGAGGATGATGAGATGTGTGTGTGTGTGTGTGTGTGTGGGTGGGTGGGTGTGTGAGTAGCATTAAAAGGGAACATATATTGAAATAAACATGTGTTCTATTTCCCGTTCAAGTTCATGGGCCCATTGGAGTAGATAGTCTCTGAGGTCCCTTCTTCCTCTGAGATTTTATTATTTTATTATAGTCCATTCTCTTGCTAGTGGTATGAATTCCCTTTGTGACATCCCTGAAGAGGCAGTGTGTTGTTGTGGATAGAATTCTGGCCCCAAAGATGGGAAGACCTAGGTTCATATTCTGGCTTTGACACATAGTGGCTCTGTGACCCTGGCCAAGTAGCTTACTGTCTCAGTGTCCTCAGCCGATGGTGTCAGATTCATAGAAATGGATCACTGCTGACTGCATATTGACTTAGAAAACTGCAAATTAATATTATCTTTGTTGTATTGTATTTTTATAGCCTAATGGAGGAACAATTATTTTTGTTAAATGTTTTCCAAATATTTAACATTTATTTAATATTTAAATTTTAATCTATATTTTAATGCCTCTACTTCCTCTACTCTCACTCTTTTCTAAACTTTTTATGTCCTGACCTTGGACCTCATCACTCAATTGAAATTAATTCCCCCAAAGTTGCCAATTGCCTAATCTAGTGGTCTTTTCTCAGTCTTCATCCTTTTTTTTTTTTTTTTTTAGTTCTCTTCCTTCTTGACCTTTCTATAGCATTTGGCACTGTTACCACCACCTCTTCTTGGATGCTCTCTCTTCTTTGGGATTTTGTAAAATTGCTCTCTCTCTGTTCTCTGACTGCATTTTCTGGATTCATTATCTATATCTTAGTAACAGTGGGTTTACTCCATGATCCTTTCCTGGGTCCTCTTTTCTCTCTACAGTCTTAGCTCCTATAGCTATTCTCTCTACAGATTATTTCCAGATCTCGGTGCAGTGGATAGAATGCTGGGCCTGGACTTAGAAAGACCTGATTTCAAATCTGGCCTCAGACACTAGCTATTTGAGACACAGGGCAAGTCACTTAATGTCTGTCTGCCTCAGTTTCCTCAACCTTAAAATGAGGATCATAATGGGACCTACATCTCAGAGTATTTGTGAGAATCAAATCTGATATTTGTAAAGAACTTTGCACAGTGCCTGGCACATTGGGTACTTTATAACTGCTATTATTACTATCCTTACTATCCTTATTATCTATATATACAGTTTGTCTCTCTAGTAGTTGTCTCTACTACTCTCTAGTAATTGCCTCCCTTATTCAAGTCTCCCTTCTCTACTCCCCATCCTCTACATAGCAACCCAAGTGAGTTTCCTTAAGTAGCAGTTCAAACTTGTCACTCCCTTACTCAGTAAACTCCAGGGACTTCCGTTTGTATTTGGACTAAAATATATAATTCTTGTGTTTCGTTTTAAAGCCCTTTATGATGTGGCTACAGCTTGTCTTTCCAAACTTATCACATAAACATCACTTTCCTTCCCTCAATCTTTTGTACAGCCAAACTGCCCTCTCTGTCTCTCACACACTCCATCTCCCATCTTTGTAGTGGCCATCACCCATGCTTGGTTTGCACTTCTTCCTCACAGCTGCCTCATAGAATCTCTCACTTCCTTCACTATGCAGCTCAGGCACCACTTCCCTGAAACCCTTCTTGTTCTCCTCCCCTCCACTCCTTTGCCAACTGTTAGTTCGCTCCTTTCTTAACTACCTGGTATTTATTCTTAGTTATTCTGTATATACTATATATGTATATTCTGGCTCCCTCTGTAGCGTGTAAACTTCTTCAGAAGAGGAGTTGTTTTATTTTTGTCTTTGTGTCCCCAAGCACCAAGCACAGCTTCTGGCATATGTAGCAGGTGCTTAATAAATTCTTATTGATTGATGGGTAATATTTCTGTTTCTTTGGGGCATGAAGAATAAACAATACCTTTTACAGGATCAGTTCAATTCAATTCAAACCTAGAATGCTGTGCTACAGATAGAAAAGCAACAGTGAAATGTTGATAAGTAGTATTCCTTTTACTGGGAGAATACATACGTGTGAATACAACGTAAGTGAATGCAAGGTAAAATTCTAAAAGGGTCAGAGCAATGAGTAATAATGTGGGAATCACAGAAGAGGTGGCCTTTGAGTTGAGCCTTGAAGGAAAAGGAGGATTCTAAAATGGGGAAGTGAGTCAGGAATGCATTCCAGGCCTGGGCACAACTTGTGTGAAGTCAGGGAGAGGGAAATGAGATGCTCCCCTGGGGTCTGACCAAGAGAGTACAGTAGAAATACACTTCATGTGAGTTAGGATTGCATTAGCTTAGAGAACATCATGCTGTTAAGTCATAGTTGTCTGTAAAACTTTTCACATTAACTGTTTAGTCAAGTCAGATACTTAAGATTTTTTTCATAAGAGCTACTGCTTTAGTTATGCTATTCATTTTTTAAAACATATATCTAGGACTTTACATTTCTCTTTATTGTTTAATTTTTAAAATTTTCTTTCTGTGGCATGGATATCCTTTGCAAATGCTTTATGTAATCATGGAGATGATTTTTATTCCCAAAGCCTGCAGAGCACAAGCACTGGAATACTTCTACCATATTAAGTCAACAAGCATTTATTATGCACCTACTATGTGCCAGGTACTATACTAAGTACTGGAGATACAAAGTAAGGCAAAAAACAATACCTGCCCTCAAAGAGCTCACAGTCTAATAGGAGAGACAACATGCAAACAACTATGGGCAAACAAACTATATACAGGATAAATTGGAAGTAAGCAACAGAGGGAAATCACTAGAATTAAGGGGGAACTGGAAAGGCTTCTTTTAGAAGGTGGGATTTTAGCTGAGATTTGAAGGAAGTCAGGAGGCAGAGAGAAGGAGGGAGAGATTTCCAAGCATGAGGGACAGCTCTTGAAAATGCCTGGAGTCAGGAGATGAAGTGTCTTGAAAAAGAAACATCAGGGAGTCCAGTGTCACTGAATCACATGGTACCAGAGAATGGGGAAGGGAAATAAGGTGTAAGAAGACTAAAGGTATATGAAGCAGCTAGGTGGTGCAGTGGAAAGAGTGCCAGGCCTTGGAGTCAAGAAGATTCATCTTCCTGAGTTCAAATCTGGCTTCAGACATACTAGCTGTGTGACCCTGAGCAAGTCATTTACCCCTGTTTGCCTGAGTTTCCTCATCTATAAAATGAGCTGGAGAAGGAAATGGTAAACCATTCTGGTATTTTTGCCAAGAAAACCCCAGATGGGGTTATGAAAAACTGGATAGGACTGAACCGACTGTACAATAGCAAAAAGGTATATGTGGGGGGGCAGTTTATAATGAGCTTTGAATACTAAACAGGATTTTATATTTGATCCTGGAGGTAATTTTTTTGGGGGGTGCGAGGCGGTTGGGATTGTGACTTACCCAGAGGCACATAGCTAGTAAGTGTTATGTGACTGAGGCTGGATTTGAACTCAGGTCCTCCTGACTCCAGGACAGGTGCACTATCCACTGTGCCACCTAGTTGCCCCCCTAATATTTTCTAATAAATGCTTTCTTGGGTTTTTAATGATAGTAATGTAAAATTGTACAGAACTCAGGAAGTGTAGATTCTTTATAAATGTAATAGTCCTTTATTTTTATCTTTTAAGGTCTTTTACACATAGCTTTTCAAATCATGTTTTTAAACTATTTAATAGTATAATAATCTGGTCTTGCAGTGGGTTTAGGAAGCTTTGAGTTTTT